GGACGGACGGGCGGCTAGCTCGATGGATGGACGTGGCTGATGATGTGTCTCTCTGTGTGTTCCAGCCCGACATGGTGCTCTTCCGGCGCGACTCGGAGGGGGGCCCCGCCCCGCGCCTCCTGCGCGTGTCCCCCCTGCGGCAGAGCGGCCGCGGCCCCCCGGCCGCCCCGCGGCCACCGCCCGCGCCGCTGGGCATGCCGCCCGCGGCCTGGGCCACCCGCGACCCGGACCTCAAAGGTGAGCAGCACGACGAGGAGCCTCACACTAGTGTGTCCACCAGGTGAAGGTGACGCCGGCCCCTGAAAACACCTTGCTCGCGGGCGTCACCTTCTGGTCTGCCGACGGTCAACTTAACTCCACGTTGGTAAATGGGGTTCATATCATATATTTTCTTGGTAGACCAGGGCAGATCCAATGAGTCAATGAGTCGTCCTCTTTTGGGGGACCTTACCCCAAGGGCGAGCGAGACGGAGCCCGCTATCCTCCTCCTGGAGCTCGTGGAGCTTACTGGACCCGCGAGTCTCTCTCACTCTCACGTCGGTCTCTCTCTCTCTTGGACTTGAGGTCGGACGCCTCTGTTTAGGCCCGCGCGGAGCCCCGCGAGCCCGCATGTCGGCCGGGGATTCAATCAAGTGCGGTGCTGCCTTTTGTCTCGGAGGCGTCTGTCGATCTCGTTTGCGCTGCGACTCTAGCCACGCATAGCCTTGGCCTGAGGCTCGGCCCCGCCCGCCGGCGTATCCTGGACGCGAAGGGCTGGCTTGGCTTGGCTGTTGCCGCGCAGCTGTACGAACATAACCTCAAACGTGCGTGCGGCGTAACCTTCAGCTGGAATATGGAACATGGCGCCGCTTTCACAGCAAACCTGCTGCAGCAGCGGCTGCAGCCGGCCGGCCCGGGAGCTGTCGCGTGGCACACTTGGAAAAGCCTAGCTCGAGTTGAATGTCGCCGCAATAATTGTGCATTTTGCGCTTTGTGTGGTTGCGTTTTTCCATTTCCGGTGAAAATAACGTTTTTCTGAAGCATGCGAAAACTTAAACTGGAAACGCAAGTGTGTGAAGTGTGCCTGTTGCACGCACTTGTAGGTGTGTGTATGCCCGTTCGTACACTTACGGGAGTAAAGGTGTGAATTTCCCTTTGAAATTTCACACACTTGTACCCTTATGTGTACGCATAGCGTCGTAGCGTTCTCCGTGGCGTTTATACACCTACAAGTGTACGACATTCACACACTTGGGTTTTGTAGTGTGTCTTGAAATTTGAGCGTGCTCAACAAACTGTGCATGTCATTTCATGACCACGAACTATTTCTACAGGAAACCAATGAAAACTTATAATTTTTTGTCGTGCACTTTTCTTTTTCATATTCTTTTCCGACTCGCATTGTTTACGGCCAGTCGGCGACTCTCACTTTATAACTTGGACAAGATTTTGGCCGCAGCGCTAAA